TGCGATGAAGTAGAGCCATGTTCAGAAAATAGTACTGACAGCCTTTCTTCGGGGTGTTCGTTTGGTCTGTTTCCCCTTTCTCTTCCTTTTTGAATCTATGCATTTTTTCAACTCACACTTGGTTTTCTTAGCAGGGCGACCACGCCTCTTTCCAGGGGGTCGTTTCACAGATTTTCATGCCATTACTAGCATGTCTGATCCGTCCTGGTTGTTTCGCATTGCATGTGTCAAACCGTTGCTGACTATATCGTTTACAATGTTTTTAGATGCGGTTTGGCTATACTAAAGCCCCTCTTGAACAACGGTATAGCCATTCTGAATACATTTCTAAAAATACCACCAAAGCCAGCTCCGTACATAGCTGGACTACCTGCATAACCAGGCATGATACTGCCCGCTTGATTTTGGTAGTAAGAAACATAGCGTTCAGGGTCCATAGCGTGTGCATTGAATGCATCCATTTTAAAACCCTGTTGGTTGTTTTACAGGTCTAAAATGTAGTTTTGCAACCACTTTCCCGTATGAAAAATTGATGTGTTGGTTTTGATCAGTTTTCACCTCTATTGTAATGTCACTAATGTGGGTCTTAGTTGCCGACACGTAGTGTGGCTTGTCGTATCTAACAGTGACAACATCGTGAATGTCCCCTGATATATGTACACATCTTAACAGAGGCACAAAGGAGTCTCCAACTGTTTGGTATTCGATGATGTCTGTGTAAACATACAGTGTGTAGAAACCCCCATAGACGTCGGCTGGGTGCGGCGCGTACTGTTTCTGAAAACCTTCTTGATCTCGAACCGTTTTAGACGCAGATTTTAGCATCTCCCCTGGTTTTAGACCTAAGACAATAGCTAGTTTTCCATCAAATACTAAACCTACGCCAGGTCTTGTCTTGATATAAACCTTGTGTCTTATTTGATCGTAACCAATAAATACTGAATGTGATGATATTTTAAAATTGATCTCATCAATCAACATGGATATGTCTTTATAATATCCGATAGGTCATTTTATTTTTGTTATTTTTGAAGCAATTTTATCGATCACCATAAATGTTGCGTCATCTTCATCAAATGTTTTCCACGTCCGTGGGTACTGAAACTCTAAAACACCCACTTCCCAATTACCTTTTAAATCAATTGGTTTTGCCAGTTTTGTTCTGTAATTAGAAATTTGGTTGTCAGGGTATACAGACATCGATGAGTTGCATGGCAAAGTAATGCAAAAACCATTGTCACCCATGTTTGTCATTTGTTGTAATGATTGCATTCACAAATGAAATATGTCTTTTAAGGCTTTTGTATATCTACCACATCCTTTTCAGGAATCCAACTGTTGAATTTGGGAGGCCATCCTAGCCATTTCACCAAAACCATATTTTTATGTTTTTTTCTTCTCTAAAATCTTTTCAACTTTGAATGTTTTATCTCGAGGCACATTTATTTTCTTGCAACTCTTCTTCATAGAAACAACCTTGTATAACATCATCATCATAATCTTTCAATCTATGAACAGGTGGTTGACGAGGGATACACTCTGAAATTGTGAAAAATTCATGTGTATAGTTCTCCTCGTAACCCTTTGCAAACGGACCCCTGACTTTGGAAATTCTCACAACATCACCCACCTTGTACTTAAACACAGTTTTCTTGCTTAGCCCGTCTCTCACACCATACAACGTTTTAAACACAATAGTTTCATTGTCTTTGGACACATCAGCTGGTTTCATTTTTATACTTCTGTGGTGACTGTTGTTGTAACCGCACACCATGTCTTGTAAAACATCAATGTACCTTTTGGAATTTATAGCCGTTAGATTTCGCCACATACGACTTTTTAGAGTTCTATTAAAACGCCCTACGACACTAGCCTTTAGTTCACTACCTGTAGCAAAATGCGTAATTTTGTTTTTTGACATCAGGTTTTGAAAATGATTGTTAAAAAACTCGTTGCCCCTGTCAGACTGTAATTTTTGAGGCACTCTACCCTCGGCTAGTATGGACGCAAACGCGTTAGCGACTTCCAAACCCGACTTATTTTTTAACAACCGGACCCAGGCATATTTGCTAAATACATCAATACACGTCAACATATATTTATAACCATCGTTTTCCTTAGAATATGCGTTCATATCAACAAGATCGGCTTGGAATTGTGAGTCAATTCTGTATACCACCACCCTGTTCCTTCTGTAATTATGCCGTATAGGTTTGTGAAGGGTGTATGCATCTTCACCCGCTAAGCAATCTGAAACCTGTTGATCAGACAGACGCACACCTTTATCCTCTAAAACAGCCTGTTTCAAACGGTTTTTACCACCTAATGAACCAGAATTTGAAGGTGTGTAATAAGCGGCTCTCATAAGATCTGACATGTTCACAGACGCCATCACTGAAAATAATGACCCAAAATTTTGTTTGATTTGCTGTTTTATTCACAACTCACAAAGCATCAATGAATTCAAGAAATTCCACACATACATCAACATTTTTCTCAACCAAGTATTCAACAAGTATTTCAACCACTTTACAAACATTAATTGGTTTATTTGCTGAAAGACTTAAGACACAAACATCTAATACATATGTACACAGACAAAACACATGACTGATTTTCATTGTATTGTTGCTCTCTGGCATCAAAGACAGCAACCTCCTGACAGTTACATGAGGCGGTTTGTCAGAATCTAGACGTAACTGTGTTACGTTGCACCAGCTTCAACTTCATACACACTATTAAAGAGTCTAAAATCGACCACACAGTCCTCCATACATTTATACAACAAATTGGTCATTTCGCAGTTCACACGGTGTTTCAACACATGGCCCGCCAGACCCTGGAATCCACAAACATTCCCCATTTGTCTTAAACAGCACTGCAGGTGTTTGAACCAGCTTTCCAACAATCAACAGCGTCAGCGACAAACTCCCCAGATATGTGATCAACCAGATTTTCTCTTATTTCATGCAACTTTTCCACAATGTATGGCTCGCTCCGCAATTCACAGACAACTGTTTCAGCGCATCCTTGAATTTTTTGAAGAGGCAGATGTATTCCAAAACACTTTAGAAGCCCCGCGATAGCATGTTTCAATTCAGGCGTGAACAATGTCTGTGTTATATCGTCATAATACTTTTCAAAGAAGAAGATATCCGGCTCAAACAGACACGAATGTCGAAGTTGACTGGGGTGGTCCACTTCACAACCAAGACACGTTTCCTTCAGTTTGTTGTTTATGATATGTTGTAAGATTACAACGACAGCAGACTTGATAAGTTTTAATCCTGTAGCACATACTCGGCCATCCACATCTTCGGGTGATGTGGGTATAGGCATGCATTCAGGAGCTTCGACGAGCGTTTCATCATCTTCCATGCATGCTGGCACCGGTGAAAAAAAAACGGTGTATGCAGGAAAGTCATATTTGCACGTGCAAAATCTTCACACAAATGGTCGAACCAGTTGTTGTTGTCTGATGTGTTGGATGGTGTTGGCTGATTGCCGCCGCACGTTGTATCGCCATCTGTGTTGGTATCGTTGCTGAAATGGCCCGAGATGCTGTGGTCTGATGTCACGATGGCCGCTGCTGGTTCGTCATGGCTGTAGTTTACAGGACCGCTGGCAGTGTCGAGCGGTGCGTAATCAACGTCCGGCCCTTGATAATTTCTATACCACTGAGGCCCGTGGTTGTCGGGGTGGCCTAATGGATGAAAATCCTCAAACATGTTGGCTTGAGTGCTGAGAAACTGAAGCTGTATGCCTCAATATGGATGGGGGGACCCTTTAAACAGACATTGCGGAGGGCGGTGATTCTGTTTGACCATCCCCACAAACGTCATAAGCCAGAGAATCAAAGAGGTTAATCTTAACATCCCCGTAACGCTTGTGAGACCGGCAATGGAATGCATCGCGATACCGGCTCTTCCTCGGCACAAACTCCAAATTGTTTTCACTACCACAAGAACTAACAGTCGCCGTTGCTGTAGAAACGCTAAGAACGGTTTGATTTAAACTTGCAGAAGACATTATGCAGCAATAGTCATGCGATCCGCCTATGAGAATAATGCTTAAATACAACATATGTAAGCCACACCCTGCTCCCTCAACACAAATGTTGGTGGTAGAGGGGGTGGGGTTAGGAGGGTGTCGTAAAACACCCAACCCCAGGCAGACCTGTCCCTCAAACTGACCTGTCACAGAGAGGGGTGTCATAAATCGGGCTGTCGCACAGGTGTAGGATATATACTACTTGACTTAATTATCTCATTTCCACATCTTACTAAGTCATGGCATTTGGATCTTTTTTTCATGCCTCAGTGAGCTGCAGAAATGCATTACTTTTCCTAAGAGGGTCACTAGAGGGGCTTTACACTGTTAGAAATGAAGGTTCTGTTCAGGTACATTTTTCATGCATCAAGGTACAAACAGTATAAATGTTCCCTCAAAGGTTCAACAGTGGTTTTAAGGTCTGATTGTGACCCTTAAATCAGTTTTTCCAGGTGAAAAGTTCGTATTTGTATCTTTTCATAACCGAATGTTTTAAAACAGAACAGTAAAATAAAAGCCTGGAGGCGAGACGGGGTGTGTGGAGTCAGTACAGCTTAGAACATATCATTTCAGTGGATTATGGTACAATTATGTTCCCTGACTAAAGGTACTGAGATGTACTCTTGTGAGTCCCACCCCAGTGCTAAGAGGGGCCCTGCCCCAGTGACAGTTTCGTACCCTTTTCTGAGCGTGTGTAGTGGTTTGTAGTGAAACAGAGCAGTTTTATTACACTCACGTGTTTCATGCTTTACTCTGAAACTATGCATGTTTTTTTCCAACCTGTAGCATCACCTCTATCTGACTGTGGGATCGTATGATAGCGTCATAGTTTCAACATAAAAAAAGTCTGTTACACAAGATAGATCTGGAACTAAAGGCTGGGAGAGAGAGAGAGAGATAGAGAGAGAGAAGACAAGTCCAGTCTCGCCTCTTTCGCCCGCCCTACTCCCCCCAACATTCCTCTAAAAAGATTTCTCCATCACAGTCACTCCACCTGCACACATCCATCCCCATCACCCAGCGCCAAGACTCCAGACCGAGCGTCCAGACCAGCAGAACATCTCCAGAACATCTCTCCAGCTCCTCAGAGAACATCCAGGTACTTTCACAGTCTGTCCTCTGTTTCTCTCTGCAGCAGAAACCTGCTCATTAGATTCATAATTAATGTATTAATTGATAATTCATACCTGCTTTATTGAGACCATAATAGTTCATATTTAAATTACTTCAGTAGTTGAATTATTAAAGAATGGATTCACAAACAATCTTTCTCTGATTGAGCTGATTTGAGCTCCAAAGGTTTTGAAAAAGAAGAGGTTAGGCTTAACGTGAATTAGCCGCTTAAATTATAGGCTTTATTACTCGGTAATTACATGGAATACAGTATAATAATTATTGTTATATTATTTTATTTTAAGTTATAGAAGTGTAATAAACATTTGATCTGGCATTTTAAGGGTTAAAGTTTTAAAAATGTACATTTATTATGTTAAAATATAGATCACTTAATGTGTACATTTGAGTGCTTTTATTTTTCCCAGTTTGATATCGTTTTGCACACGTTATAACAATGTAATAACGACATTTTAGGCAGTTTGTTGATGAGAATGGAAGTTGCACAATCTCTCTGGAATCCGTTAGGCGCCAAAACGCTGCTGAGAGACTTTTCAGAAATAGAAATGATAATTATTCCTCTGTAGAGCTCATGTTCATATGTTCTATTCATGTTCATAGCGTTTTATTTTAACAAATCCAATGTAGATATGTTGCTTGTTTTGATGGACATTTCTATAGTTGTAGATTCTTTAAGACTATAAGGTTTCCAAACTGGTGCGGGACGTCTTCACACTGTGGAGACGCAAAAAAAAAAACAGCGCTCTTGCAGCGAGTTTATCTGCCAGTCACCCACAGAGCTGCTGAACAAATCACTGTAGACTAAAAACAGCAGTAATTACTGTTAGTCATTTAGTTTGTGCCCACTCACCGTCCGTCCTCTGCCCCGGGCACGTTCACCCGCACAAACTGCTGGATTTGTTTCTGTTTATGTGTTTTATGAATCAATCTGAAGAGGAAAAAATTACACATGGACACAAATCAATGGTCCTTTATTGAATAAACTATGTGGGCTGTTTAATGAGTGGACAGTAAGATGAGGAGCTCATACTGATTAAAAAGGGCTTTGAATTCCTCTTCTTTTAGATTCTGTTGTGAAAGTAACCTTTATCCTCCAGCAATCTGACGCTTGTTACATTCAAAGACCAAACAAAGCAAACTGCATTCATACGAAGTGGTTTTCAAAGGGGAATTCCACCAATTTTTCCAAATTTCTGAATAATTTAATCACAAGATGTAAACAAAGTCACTCAGAGTGGTATTATTATAGAGAAACTTACAGACTCCAATGTCTTTACAGTGGTGGTGATAGGAACCAGGGGTCACTATGACTGCAACACAAATATAGCCATTTTATTTACTATCCAAAACCACCAGTGAACCTACACGAGTCTTCTGAGTTTATATATGTAATGTTGATGATGGGAAAATAGTGGAAAATCTGGAAGAAGTTCAGAAAGTTTCGTTGGAGGACTGTTTTGCCCCACCACACCCAGATTGTACCTCTCTGCCATGAACAACAACAAAAAAAATCTTAGCTCAAACCAATATAGCCATTTTATTTACTAATCAAGATCAACAGTGAACATACAGAATTTTTATACAGAATGTTGATGATGGTAAATTAGTGGTCAACCTGAGAAATAAGACCTCTTTGGGGACTATTTTGGCTTAGAATGCCCTTTATGTTTCCCTTCGCCATAAATGGATTAAAATAAATTGATTAAAATTTGGTTTTGGCCAAAATTTCATCATGAAACTACTGTAAATCAGTGTCTCAGACTTCAGGCAGTGAATTCATAACCATGTAGGAACTTTCTGTGAGGAAGCTTTTAGAGGTGGACGTCTGGTTCCTATCAGCACCACTGTGAACAGTTCTTATCATCAAATCCCTCCGAAAGACTTTGTTTACATCTCAACCGCTTATTTCTACAGAAATATTCGAAATATCGTTGAAAGCTGGTGGAAACCTGGAGCTTCTTATTGAAGGGGTTCATTTTTGTTTTCAAAAGGACCAAACTGAACAGGTTCGAACACACAAACTGATCCATATGAGGTTTGATATATGAGCATGAGTGTGCAAAAGTTTGTGCACCCCCGGTCGAATGACGTTTTCTTGATTTTTCTATGTAAAAAACTGAGTAACACATACCGGAAAAAATAAAACATACAGCGGAAAAGGCGCCGTAACTTTGTCACAGGCCGTGTTTTATTTTTCCAGTGTGTTTAATTCAGCAAATAAACAATAATCGTGTGTTAAATGTGCAGACGTGTGTTCTCTATGGGGGATGTGTTAGCTTACTTTCATAACATGTCATTTGACCAGGGTGCCCAAACTTTTTTTTCGCATAGCTGTAGGTGAGACTCGGCTGGGCTGGGGTTTTGGGTGTGGCAGGACTGAGCCGATGTGGGCGTAGACGGATAAAACTTGTCAGGACTTGAGCCTGGAGCTGCGCTTCTCACAGTGTGTTTTGAAGCATCTGTAGCTCAGAGCTATAAGATTCCTGTACGGACCTGCTCACAGGGAGGGGCTCAGCACTGTGGGATTGCACTCTAGGCAGGGAGCCATTTTGTGTGTACATACGTGTGTATATTTGCCTACAGGGTGGTTTTTAGCTGTAGTGTTGCACATCACTGTGTTATGCAAGCCTAAGTTAGGTCTTTAGCATTAAGACAGAAACTCAGAAATCAGGCAGGAATTCTGTATCTTTGACCAAGACGCTAGCAAAACTCCCAGCACCAACCTCAGTAGCTTCCATCGAACCCCTGTGCAATTTTGTGAAAGATAAACTGAAAATAAGTGAAATAATTTTTTTTTTCCGATTTTTGCCGTCGAGGAGCTTCTTTACCTTAAACTGGTTTTTAGGGATAAAAATGTGTTTCGTAATGATGTCATTACCCGTAAAAAAACTGTCGTGTTATGCTCTAGTTTACCAGTGAAAAAAGCTCTCTAATTTCGTGTACAGTTGTGTGCAAAAGTTTTGGCACCCTTGGTCAAACGACGTTTTTGTTGATTATCTAGGTAAAAGTGAGTAAACACACTTCTACACATTTTAATGCCTTATTACTGTTTATTTGCTAAAAAAAAATAAAATGTGGCCTGTGCAAAAGTATTGAATATTTTATAATAATAATAATAATAATAATAATAATAATAATAACAATAATAATAATAATGTCTATTTATTTAGCACTTTTCATAAATTAAAAATGTGGCTCAAAGTGCTTCACAATACAAAGTAAAAACAACAGAGGAAAAAGAGAAAAAGATCAAAATAAAAGCAAAAAATAATAAACAAATAGTGAATAGCAGAATTACAATTAAAAAGCACAAGATAAAAGTATTAAAAAATACAATAAAAATGCAACTAACAGGAAAACAATGAAAAAACGATTTAAACACTAAAGTAAAGAAGTATGTTTTTTAAAAACACTGACAGAAGGAGCCTGACAGACGTTTACTGGTAACGTTTATTGGATCTTTGGTGCATAAAAACAAAACGCTGCCTCTCAGCTCTTCTTCAGCTTCATAGGTGAAACATGGAGAAAATGTTCAAATGTTCAAAATTCCAATTTTACTGACAATTTTTATTTCCAAAGCCTACAGCGAGAAACATTTTGAAGCTTTTTTCATAGAAAAATCCCTTAGATGGAAATGTAGCTACTGTTTTTCTTTACATTCACTTCTGTTTCCTGCTTCACGCTGAGTTACGGTCAGCAGTTTCAATTTTTGAACCTCCGTCTATAACCCTGTACAAACCCAACAAAGAACAATTGGGCTATTTTATAATGATCAGTAATCAATATTTCATAATAATCAACTTTGTAAAAAAAAAAGTCTCCCTAGTCCTTCTGGAAGTTCTAGATATGCAACTGACTGTGAACACGAGCCGTAGTCTAACCAGGTTTCCGTTAGTTGTTAGGACTGGAAAACAGCGGCAGCAGAACTTTCACTGAAAGAATTGCTGTAAAACTGTCACATTCAAGCTCTAATAGAAGAAAATGTCTTTTACAAGCTTCAAATATTAGTAAATGACCAAAACATTCGCACCATGCATAATATTAGAAACCCCACAGAGGGCTAGCAGAGATTAGCACTGTTAAGAAAAGTTTTTTTTCTTGTTTTTTGTGACTGAACTTTGATAATTACGCCACAAACTTAAGGCCTCCCTCAGGGTTCAGCAACAACTCTGGAGTTAATTCACCCTTTAACCCTGAAAATCAGCGCAGACTGCTGGTCACCACAGCAACACAGACAACAATCTGGCCTAGCTAGTAGCTAACAAAACCTCAAAGAGACATAAACACTCCAGCTGGTTTCCTGAAACATTTAATCTGCAACAAGAAACTGTCAAACACTAAAAAGTCATGAAACTGTATTCGGCGTCTCGTTTGCCAGCTCCACATTCAAATTCTCCCGTTCCACCTTAAATGGTGCAGCAGTCACATTCTGGCGCCTCAGGCACCATTTAAGTTGGAACGGGAAAATTCAAACAAGAAGCTGGTGAATGAGAATCTGACTTCAGTCTCATAAAAAATTAAACATTGAGAGACATTTTACAAGAAACTGTTCTACTTTTGCGAAAAAGTTTCCTGCCGGAGATGCGAGAAAAGCTAAAGCTTAAAGCAGAGCAAAGTAAGTCTGCGTTTTCGTTTATATTAGCTATCATTTTTAGCTTATATTGTACATACTACACTAGCATATACTGAGACACATTTACAGCCAAGATGGTAAAATGGACATAAAATGTTGTGGCTCCCAAGGTGGATTGATTTTTGTTGAAAGGACAAAATGGCTCTTCTTAACATTCGGGTTGCCGAGCCCTGGCCTAGCTGTAATAGACACTGTATAAACATTGGTGCATTTTATGGCCTTTTTTCTGTAAGCTGATTAAATCGTAAGGCACTCTTAATGAGAGCGTCCACCAAATTCATAAAAGTTAACGTAGTGTAATGTATGGCCTCTTGTGGATTAGTGCTATAAAAATGTCTATAATATTTGCTTTCCTTCTGCCTCACTTTACACCAGTGTTGTACATTTCTTTGAGCCCACGCTTGGTATTTAGTGCTGCAGATCCCACTAACTTTATCATCTCCCTCTCTGTTAGGATGGGTTCCTCAGGAATTCAGATCGTATGTGTTGGGCTGGGCATTTTAGGCCTCATCGCCGGCATCGTGACCTGCGTCATGCCCCAGTGGAAGGTGTCGTCCTTCACCGGGCAGAACATCATCACTGCACAGGTACAAATACATTCTGGTTATACCTTTCATGGAATATTGGATGAAAAAAAAATGTCCACATACAGTAAAGAAGTAACAGAAGAAAGAAGAAAGACTTAACATTGTTGTATTGAGGTTACGCATATTGATGTAACATGGTATAAATAACTGTGAAATCACTCTGCCTATCTATCTATCACAGGTGTCAGATTTCTCTATCGGGCCAAAACACGGCATCACTTACTACTTTACTTACTCTTAAATGATTCAAACCAAGCCCCCTCCCTCACCCCAAATGTGGTCAGTCAGCCAAGACATGTTTGGTGGTGTTTAATTTCGAACTGGAGCTACGAGGCTAATGCAGCTGCCACATCCAAGCAATTAGCCTCATGCTATCTGGATGTTGGGTTATAATCTCTAAGCCAATCTTTAATTCATGCCATTTGACAAGTACTCTAAAGATCCAGCTATACTTGCGTTTGCTAGCAAATTTTGCCGTGATGAGTGATTTCATGTCACACATTTCCAGGCCACTGTTTTTTTAGCAGTGCAACCATGCTAAAAAACAGCACAGACCATTCAATGCTGGCCTAAACTGGTTTGTGCTGGTCTGGTGCTGGTATATCTGGTCATACCAGCATCCAAAACACATGCTGGTTTTGCTGGAGACCAGCATATGAACGTCCATTGCTGCTGTCCAGAATTCCAGCCCCCAAAACTTAGCTCATGCTGGTTTTGCTGGTGGTCTATGCTGGTTTTTATAGCAGGAAAAAAGGACTTTCATCTATGTTTATAGGCAGTATGGTGTCATGTTTTCAAAAGACACATTCCCATGCACAAGGACGGTTGACAATCAATACATAATTGACAACACATAACACAGAACACACACACACGCACACTCCACGGTTCCCACAGCTAGCGTAGGAGATTTCACTGACCACAGTATAGAGTCACACAGAAAGTCTCACAACGCAACTGCCCTGCATCACACAGGAGGCCGGCCTGGGAAGCCTTAAAGGCTGAAAATGTCCTTAGCCAAGAAGGGGCAGCATTTTCCTGCAGCCAAACACTACCAGTCCAGGCAGCCTCACAGCTGTAATGCAGCGTCACCCAAGTGACCGGCCCAGGCAGCCGCGTAGCTGCGATGTAGCGTCACTTAGGCAGCCGGCCAGAGAGGCCTCGTAGCTGCAGCATAGTGCTGCTCATGCAGCCAAACACTACCGGTCCAGGCAGCCCTACAGCTGCAGTGCGGCGTCAACCAAGCAGCCGGTCCAGGCTGAGATGTTACGTAGATCAGGTCCCCAGCCCAGAGAGCCTCGTAGCCCAATACAGCATCACTCAAGTGGTGGGCCCAGGCTGCATCACGGCTGAGATGTAGATTTACCCAAACCGCCAGCCCAAGAAACCACAGTTGGAAAATCGTTCTCGTCTGCTATCTCGGTGGATATGGTGGCTCCTCAGCCAGCAGGGAAACATCAAAACATACACACAAACAATACAAAAGAAAAGCCGATGTAAAGCGGCGGCCATACTGCGTCATATTCCATCATCACATACACTGTACATAACCTATAAACATGTCTTGGCTGACTGACTGCATTTGGGGGAAGGGGACAACTGTGTGAATTTGATTTGAAACTACTGGACGAACGTGAGGAAAGCACCAAAGAAGTGCCCTCTCATGCTTGATGTGTTCGTGTTTGTGTGTTCAGACTCAGCAGGAGGGTCTGTGGATGGAGTGTGTGGTGCAGAGCACAGGTCAGCAGCAGTGTAAGGCCTACGAGTCTCTGCTGATCCTGGGCTCTGACCTCCAGGCCGCCCGTGCCATGACTATCATCTGCTGCATGCTGACCGCGATAGGCTTGCTGGCACTGTTCGCTGGTGCCGACTTCACCACCTGCATCGAGAGCGAAGACGCCAAGCCCAAAATTTGCCTGGTGGCCGGCGTGGCCCTGCTCCTCTCCGGCCTGCTCCTCATCATCCCCGTCAGCTGGTCCGCCAACAACACAGTCAGCAACTTCAACAACCCGCTTACCCCTAGCTCCAACCGCAGGGAGCTGGGGTCCTGCATCTTCATCGGCTGGGCCGGTGGAGTGCTGCTCCTGCTGGCCGGAGGCCTGCTCTGCTGTTTCAGCCGGCCATGCTCCGGAAGCTCCGGAGGCACCGCCAAATATTACAGCAACAGCGCCTCTGCCCCAAGCAAAAACTACGTCTAGAGGGGCAAATTTAGGGTCTAAAGGTGGTGATTCAACTGCATTGTTTATAATAATATTCGATATAGCATCCATTCATTTTTTAGCTAGGACAGAATTCTTAGGCTATTTTCAAATATAAAGATCCAAAAATGTGTTTTTATCAGTGTTTCTTCTTTTAAAAGCAATTCCGAATCAAATCAAAAGAATCAAATCAAATGCATTGAATCGTTACCTAAAATCCTGAGGTCAGACATTTACACCCCCAATGTACATGTGCTTTGGAGGGAAATTGGATAAGAGTAGTGCTGGTTCTTGATTCCCCCTGCCCTGTATATTGTAATGTTTTCCTGCTCTAAAGCTACGTTCACATTACAAGCTGATTCTGATTTTTTTTGCTCAAATCCAAACTTATAGTTCACATTTGTGCGAATAAGCAATACATATTTCTATCCACAATTTCATTACTGGATTTACCAGTCCACTTGGCCTCTCCATTTCCCTTCAGGCCATTTTAAAGGCCACCCATTACCGTATTAGCTCAACAGACGTTTAGATGAGGCCTTAGAGGGGCGAGGGATTGAGTGGACACAAGTGGTCATGAATTGGATTTGTATCCGGTCTAGAAGCACATATGAAAGCGGCTCAGATCTAAAAATATCAGATTTGTCACATCAAGGCAGGTTAGTGCCACTTCGGCCTGGTAATGTGAACACCAATGCACAGGACATGGGGACTCTGTAGCCAGAGATGGGAACATATAGGACACAGGAAACTCAAGCATTCAATAGAATAAATAAAAGCACCATAGATTTTAGGACAGAGAAATGATGGTCTGTAAATATTTATATCAGGGAAAAGCTGCAGCTTATGTTTACTTTTGTTTATGTGTTTATATTTTTCTGTGCTTTGCAAATTCGCTGCTGTCGTGAGAGAACATGTCTCACAAGCTGTATTTGAGTCCTCTTTATGCTCTACAGGTAGGGCTAAAAATAGAGCCTTAAAACCACACGAGGTGGACGGCCCATGTTTTCTTTTCTCCTGGTTAGCTGGTGTTTTGGATGAGGACTGTTTTCTCAGGACAGCAGCGTAATGCTATAATTTCTATGCTATAATTTTCACATCCTTGTTTGGACTCTTCAGTCTGGTGGTGTCCATTTGAGCAGCTAACAGCAACACAAGCAACAAAATGACCAGCGATAATTAAATGCCTGCAATGGTCACATGCTCTTCACATCCTACTGCAGGTGGTCATTTAGCACATTGGTCAGAGATTTTGTGTACAAATGTAACCTCAAGTCAAATACATTTCAGTTACTGCTATATTAGTGAGGACTAAAATAACTAATCTTTTCAAGTCATAATTAGCTACATTTAATGTTGTTTTGTAATGTGTAGAGATTAGAACAACACAACTAAGCAAACTAATGTTTTTAAAGAATAAATTCATGAATTGTACAATGACGTCAAGATATTTTGTGTGTTGAGTTGAAACAATTGGCCTCATTTTTTGTTTGTAATAAAGTTTATTGCTCATTATTTGAGTATGTCATTCGATTATTTAAAATCTTATTTCTATCAGTGGTGAGTTTTATGAGGAACTCAGTTTCTCTCTGAAATAAAGTCTTGCCTATGCACCAAAAACCTCTTATTGTAGACGGACACTGAATCATCTGCACATACAAAAGTAACACATGGTGTTCCTCAAGGTTCTGTTCTAGGGCCTCTACTATTCACATTATATATGCTACCAGTGGGTATTGTTATCGATAAATATGGTATCACCTTCCATTCCAACGTTTGTCATTGCAGTTCTGTAAAGCTTGTCCAACCTATCAACAGTTACTACAAGAAACACATTGGTGGGCGGAGCCTGGACTTATTTGTGAGTATGTGAACATGCCTGTTGTGTAATTTGAGTAATTTTGAGACATGAGGACAGATTATGTTTAAAATATTGATGATATTTATTGAATTGCTCTAAGACATATATTAAAATGAGTTTGCAAACAGTTGCTCATAAAAACCTCAAATCAAATCCCTGAAGAGCAATATTTGGGTTATAAAAAGCTGCAATGTCCTTTTTATTCCTTCTTATCTCTTCAAAACCACTGCAGCCCTTTCTCTCTCTCTCTCTCCTCTCTCTCTCTCTCTCTCTCTCTTCCTCTCCGCTCTAGCCTTTAAACACTTATATGGTCATTTCACATTAGCAGTTGAATTTGATGCTTCGGCCATCAGTTTTTGCTCTCCAGCTCGCTCACTCGTTTAGTCAGCTCCTCCACCATCTCCCTCAGCTCCTTCACTTCATTCTGCAGAGCCTGCACATCCTGAGAGAGAGAGAGGGAGAGAGAGAGAGAGAGAGAGAGAGAGAGAGAGAGAGAGAGAGAGAGAGAGGTGGGGGGTGAGGCAAAGAGAAGGACACAAAGATAAGAAAGGAAGAGAAGACAGAAAGAGTGATAGAAAAAGAGAAAGACAGAAAGAAAGGAGAGAAAGAGAAAGAGATAAAGAGAGAAACAAAGACACAGAAAAAGACAGAAAGGAAGACACGAAAGAAAAAAGAAAGGAAGGAAAGAAAGACCGATAGAAAAAAGTGAGAAAAAGAGAAAAGAGAGAAAGGGAGGAAAAGCAAAGGAAAGAGAAAAAAGAGAGAGACAGAGAGAGAGCAATACAGACAGAGAGAAAGATAGAAAGAGAGAGGAGAAATAGAGATAGAGAAAGAGAGAAAAGAGAGAGAGAAATAAAGAAGAAAGGAATGAAAGCGATAGAAAAAAGAGAGAAAAAAGGAAGGAATGAAAGAAAGAGTGATAGAAAAAAGAGAGAAAGACAAAGAAAGGAGAGAAAGAGAGAAAAAGAAAAGGACAGATAAAGAGAAAAAGAGGGAAACAGATGGGAGGCAGAGAGACACAGAGAGAGAAAGACAGAAAAGAGGGACAGAGACAGAAAGAGAGAAAGAGAGAGAGAGAGAAAAAAACAGAGAGAGCGAGAGAAAGAAAGAGCGAGAGGTATAGAGAGTGAGTATATGTTACTAGCCCTTCATGAGTCCAGTATAATATTCAGAGAGGTGAAGGTCAGTCTACAGTGTGAGAGCGGTCTGTGAGTGCATTAAGGTCGTACCGCTCCGTTGCCGTGCCGAGGGCCGCTGGAGGCCGATGTGGTCGACATGAGGCTCTTGATGACTTTGAACTCTTTGTTTTTGGTGGTAGCCACGAAGCCGTCCTTCAGGGAGATGAGGATGGGCTTTCCTTCTTTACCAGCGAACCAGTCATCAGCCTCCACCGACGGCTCGGGCCCCATAGTGTCCGGATACAGATCCTCCTGGAACAGGTCCGACTGAAACCAACAAAACACGACAGCTACAGCGTCCGCTCACCAGATAGACCTTTAACATTTTACTCCTCATAAATAATGAGTCTCCAATAAAGTGGTCAGTGAGTGGAAGTACAAGGTAGGTGTTTCTGATAAAGTGGCCAGTTAGCAGAAGCACAAGGTAGGTGTTTCTGATAAAGTGGCCAGTTAGTGGAAGTACAAGGTAGGTGTTTCTAATAAAGTGGCCAATCAGTGGAAGTAGAAGGTAGGTGTTTCTGATAAAGTGGCCAGTAAGCGGAAGCACAAGGTAGGTGTTTCTGATAAAGTGGCCAGTTAGTGGAAGTACAAGGTAGGTGTTTCTAATAAAGTGGCCAGTGAGCGGAAGCAGAAGGTATGTGTTTCTAATAAAGTGGCCAGTGAGTGGAGGTAGAGGGTAGGTGTTTCTAATAAAGTGGCCAGTAAGCGGAAGTAGAAGGTAGGTGTTTCTAATAAAGTGGCCAGTGAGTGGAGGTAGAAGGTAGGTGTTTCTAATAAAGTGGCCAGTAAATGTGTTCACCTTTCGTGGCACTGTCATAACGATGGGCTCACACTTCCTCTCATGGAGTTTATAGAACCTGTAATTAGAGAAAAGCACAGCGCCGCAGTGAATATTCAGAAACTTTACGATGTTTTCTAAAAACAAGATTATAGGTGTGTGTGTGTGTGTGTGTGTGTGCGTGTGCGTGTGCGTGTGTGTGTGTGTGTGTGTGTGTGAAAGATAACTACCTGGCGATCTCACACTTGTTGACCTCCAGTCCTCTCTTGGGCATGTAGCCCATCCCCTTCTGGCTCTCCTTGCTGCTGTACATGGACAGATAGTGGACGTACGGAGCCTCGTCCGTCACCTCAAAGTACCGAATGCTGCTGTCGCCCTGAAATCCATGTTTACAGCATCAGACAGTGCCCAAACACAGAGTCCTGAACAAAACTAAATAAACCAACACCACACACGTCTTTACTGATCGATGGAAGGAAACTTGTCCCCCTTATTGATGAAAAGGGGAGGAGCAGAGAGACTATTTAGATCTCGAACTGGAGTCCAGTTTCCAGCCCTGTATCTTATATTCACTGGTTGTTACCTGAAATGTCGAGCACAGCCTGACTCTCTCTCTCTCTCTCTCTCTCTCTCTCTGACTGTCTTTGATCGTGTTCGTATGTGTATTTAACTGTGTGAGAGACTGTAAAATACACACTCTTAAAAAGTTCTTCAAGGGTTCTTTAGTCTAGAAAATGTGTCTACATAGAACCATGAACACTCAAAGAACCCTTTGCATGATTTAAGGGTTTTTTGCATTGTGAAAGGGTTTTTGACATGCTGTAGATGGTTCTATATATAACCTTTTTGAAAAGGGTTCTGTTTAGCACCAAAAGGAAAAGGGTTCCACTATTGTTACAAGCCAAAGAACCATTTTTTGGTACTATATAGAGCCTTTTTTGCTAAGAGTGCAGTATAAATAAAGGTCTATTTGTGTATGAAGTATTTAGTATTATTATGAAAGGAATATTTCACAGTAATGAAAATCTAAACGGGATACACTGCTGTGTTTTCAAGTGGACCTGTATGTGTTGACCTCACCTTTCCACACAGGTAAACGATGCCCGTGTCCGGGTCGAAGAAGGGCAGCAGAACTCCGCTGCTGGTGTCCAGCTCCTGCAGGGTCAGCGGCTCATCAAAGCTTTTCTGCAAACCCACACAGAGACGTACATTTCCTAAGCATGCTGCGTTTGACTGTAACAGATCATCTCATGTATTAGAGAGATACTAGTTCAATTAACTTATAAACATAAAACGAACTCATAAACAAACAAAAAGACATTTTCATCAAAGACAAGCATCAACACACTCATTTTTACACGACCGTTTCCCAAACATTTTAGCACTTAGAACCAAACAGGCTGTTGTTGTTACTGTGCCTTTAAGTCTGGTATATGTAAATGAGCCCTGTTCTAACTGACCGCCCCGTACTGTGATTCAATTCAAATCAAACCTCTTTAACTCCTTGAGACCACCGGTGGTTCCAAAACGCACTTCATCATAACTTTCATAACTTCCATATTTCATAAGCTACATTCAGAAGGTGGGGGTCGTATGAGAGCTGTAACTGGCTTCTTTCCAGTCAGATAGATGGGTGATGTGATTTTAAACCCTTATAATAAAAGAAGCTGAACTCAGTTTTTTTGTCTACTGAAAGTCGACCCATTTTTCCACAAATCTGGGCTACAAACTATAAACAGATGGCGTCTCTTCAG